TAGTGGAAAATTTAGAAATTACAATGTATGCTCCACACATGAAAAAACGGCAACACAATTTTGAATAATTTGGGTTGATGGGATGAAACTTTTAAAAGCATTCACAAGCCCATGATTTTTATACGCCAATAAACGAATCCATACAATTGTCTGGTCGATAAATTAAAAATCATTAAAAGAATACTTAAAATTACAAATATCAGGTTACATTGATTATTTAAATTTGCATTTCCTAACTCACCGCGGGCAATTTATGCACTTCTAAATAATTCGATAGACCTAAATTGCATAAGAATTGCATCCTGCTGCATTATGAAACATTCTCCCCCGGTTCCCCAATCACTTTTATTCATATATGAAAAATTGTGGGTGTAAAACCGGCTTTAGGGGTTACAAAATCTATTGGTAACACATTTTCGTCATAACATTCTTAGAACTTCTTTTATGTCTTGGTTTGATTTTTGGTGTCGGTGTTTTCAGCGATACATTCCGATATTTTTCAAACGTTTCATGTGGCAATAAAACAAAATTTAACAAAAAAAAGTATTTTGACAATTGTTCAATATTTGGATTTAATTTTAAATCGGCAACTGAGCAGATGAAGCAACTGGAAATTGAGAATGAAGAGAAAGAAAGTTGATTGTCCGGTATAAGTATGGAAATGAAGACAAAGAGGGACGTATTGATTAAAATGACAGAAAAAGTGTCGATTTTCCAAGAGAAGAAACCATAGAAACTAAAAGAAAGAGAAGGCGAGATTTATAAAAGTGTAAAACGAAATGGTGAAATATGTAGCATTAATTTTTTTGAGCAGTATATTATATTAATACCCTGCAAACCAATCAACATTTTACCCAGTATTTAATTCAATGAGCCATAAAACATTTCAGTATACTTTTCTTTATTTGAATTCTTTCCAATGTAGCCAAATTTACTGATCAGAATTGGTTATGACTGGAGTGACATCTGCAGCGACCAACCGCATGAAACACATGTTCGTTTTGAGTCAGCACATTATTTACCCTCTTTAGAATTTGTAGTAGCAAGCTTCTTAATAAGGAATTGTGATAGGCTGGTTTTTTTAAGACTTCGGTTGTTTGTTTGGGAGAACTCTGACTCCTGATACTGCTGATCACTTGATCGCCCGTCCTTTTCGTTTTCCTTGTTTCCGTAAAACCTTTGTATTCGTTTTTTTAAGTGAGATTTCACATGGTATAATTTTTTTATATATATTTGAACTTTAAGTTCCCCTCTAGTATGTTGGACAACGGAGAACTGAGTGCTAGTACAATAATACAGTAATATTACTCCATGTTTCCGATATACCTATGTTATTTGCATATAAATTTACTTATTTCCATTTTTCCATGCACCATTATTTATATTGAGATGCTGTATATAGTGATCCCTCAGATCAATTTAATTAGCTAGGTAATTCGCTAGATTGCTTTTGTTTCACTTATTTTCATAATCCACTAGAACTTTGTTTCTCACATATATTTATATCTCGAGTTTCCCAATTTGCGGGTGTATTAAATATTAAATAATTGTTGTAATAATTGATAAGTTTTGTTTCATAAATTACAACAGTAATATGCAGCTCACACATGGGCGATTGAAGTAAAACAGAAAAACAGAAGAAAAAGAGAGAATCAGAAGAAAGCGAGCGAAAATATTTGAATGACGACAAAGAGGGAGAAAGGGCGAAAAAAGAAGCAATTTTCGACTTATTTGTTCTTTTTGTATCTTTGTTGTCACTATTACTATTCATTTGTGATATGGTTTGGCTTGTAAATAGGAATCACAAGCCGTGGGTCAAATAACGCTTGCTTATATACCGATCAGTCCCTGTACAAATAGATAATCGTGTATAATCGTCTAATTCCATTCACGACCACTTCCACCATTCCGCGGCGGGCCGTGACATACTTTGTATACCATTTTACTACGTCCAACTGTCTCACGGCGACAGGTGCGTGTGTTTGTATAATAATCGTTAATTTGAAACCGGACAGTTTCACTATTTTGATTCCATTAGCCCGGACATTTTCTCTTCGTTTCCGCCGATCATTTTAGTGTTTCTTACGTGTGTGCGTTTTCAAAATACTGCGTGATTCCGGGTTTTAAGGCACAAACTGAAACGGATGATGGATCTCATCATTTTAAGTAAAAAAGTTTATATAAATAAAATTAGTAGCGAAAGAGGAAACTAAAGTTTGAGTAAGGCAAACAGGCAAAATGAAGTTATTTTTGAACGGATATTCTTATTAATCTCGACAACGGTTCATTGGTTGAAAAAAATTGAATAGCAAGAAAAATTTCTAAATTGAACAAATCACTCAATTTGGTAACTGGAAGCTGTCAGGCGCATACTAGTAAAAAGTTTGTGAGGTTAAAGAAACCTCTACCATGTAGATTTTATATCAGCTTTTTTAGCTAAAGTGACCAGATCCAACACCCATTTCAGTTTGTGCCGTAAAACTTGAATCACCCCGCATATTACTGAGTGAAGTTCCCAATAGCCAAAATTGTCAACGCTTGGCCAAATTTTATTGACAAAAAACAACATCTGCATATTTATATCAACCGTTTTTCGAAAGCACACAGAATCGAAATTGCGCACATTAAAATTCTGTAGAAATTTTTTGTGGGTACAATTCCTTCGAAGCTCAATTGTTGAGATATGGACATAAAGCAATGTTTAATCAATGTTAATTCTGAATTTCGAATAATAATTAATATCCAAAAAATGCTAAGTGTATTGTGCAGAAATGATGTAAATATTAATTTTATATACTATTTTTTAGCTTCTTAGCTTTTAACGCCTTAATTGCTAGATTAATTACAATTAAAACGCCAAAACACTGAACATACTTTTTCGAAGTCAAATAAACAATTCCTGCAGTATATAACATAATACAATTGAATTATCGATATGACTAACTACTCCATATCTGTATCAGGTGACATTTCTATTTTTGTAAATTCTGCAGACAAATATATCAGATATATCCATAGCTATATTCTAAATGAATAGTTATTGGCTTTAAACACTCTTAACAGATGCTTAAAACCCAAAACTGCTTGAATTTATCCACAAAACTTGTAGTATAATTAATACAAAATATATACTTATACGTTATTTTAAAGTAATGTAAAGAAATATTCTGATATCATTCAACTATAAACAATTTTTGTGTGGATAGACAGGTTAAAACTGAGTAATAATTTATATTTTAAATATTTTTTATTTAAAGGTGAATTAAGCAACCAAAGTAAATACACATAAACACAACACAACAAAAAACAGAATTCTTTCTTTTCTTTAACAACTAGGTTATTTATTAATTACTTGTATTATGTACATAGTTTACCAAGTTATATATGTATGTATATATTATATATGTATCTTATCTTATCTTATAATGCAAAATTACATTTTGACACCACCAATAAATCACAAAAATTCTACCTAAAAATGAGACTAGATGAAAAAACATCTTACAAATAAATAAAACAAACATTGTTTCAGGACTCCACATAGTGCTCCAAACTCGGTGGGCTATTAAATGTACGCGAAAAATAGAAAAAGACATGCAAAGAGTTACTGATCTCCACTTTTAAAATACCAGAACTATGCACTTCATTGTTTTAATGAAATGGAATTGAAGTAATTTTTTAAAATCCATGTATACGCTTAATCAAATCTTCATATTTTTAGCTGAAATTGTTGCATATATCAAGAGCTGTATAGCACAAATATATATCACACAGAAACTCCCAGAATTGTTCATATAATCTAAAAATGTTATATTATACACTTAAAAAAATAAAATTCCAAATATTTAGAATAGCCTCCGCAATTCAAATTTAAATTTCCCACCTTTTTCCATTCTCAGTAAAATTCGAATAGTTTCGAGAAACTCTATACATTAACTAATTAAATTTTATAAAAACTCATTAACACGACCCCGAACGACTCTAAAGAAAAATGCAATTAAGAACAACGCAGCTCCCCAGCAAGCACGCTGCCGTGCAATTATTATCTGCAGGATTTCAACACGTCCAAGTTACCACTAATTTTTTTCAATGTCTTCATTTATATTATGGTCACTTTCTTCTGGCAGTTAGTGGCGAAGAAAGCTGAAACAGCGCGCATTCTGCGAAGTGCATGGCATGTTAACAGTACCCAGAGAAATTTAATAAGGACGGACGTTTGCCTAGACGTTTTAAGTGATGATCAGCGCGGTGTTAAGTGCCCAAAAAGTTGATAGCCAAAGTATGTATGTATATATAAGAGGGCACAACGAAAACTCGTTTTGGCCTGACGGCTGCATTAAAAAGGGGTGCTTACACTACCAGCGGCTTGGGCAGGGATAAAATGAGTATTTGAAAAGATAATAATTATTTTAGATTATTTATTTTTAAAAATTCTGTCTTCATTTTTCACGGAAAGTGAACAGTGTTAGTGCGTTGGGAAAGGTAAACCGCCGTAATTCCTTTTAAACCTTCTAGTGGAATTCCTGCCATACCATGGTCGTTGTTTCGATCCTGGTTTCAGTGGTATATAATTTTTTAAGTAGCTGAGTTAATTGACGCTTTCAGAAATCAATTGGTTCTAATCTGAACGACCGTTACAACTTGTATCTTATTAAAAATGGTGGAAGCTGGGGAAAGCCCGATTCTACCGGTCTGCAAAGAATCTTAAAGAGCTTAGCAATCACGGTTTTGGTTGTTTCTTCGATTACTATTTTTATGTGGTTTACCAGAATATGCTTAATTAAGTGTTTGAAAACAAATAAACAGAGTGAATCAGTCTCATCTTTTCTCGATATCGAACCTTTATAGTTATACGTAATTAAAACAAAACTTGTAAAAATCTAGCGCAGCAGTATTATACTTTTTTATTATTTTGGTCATTTTTGGAGATAAACGCTTAAATAAATAAAAAAAACTCTTTGAGCCACATCGTTATACAATGGATGTCGTTTATTTCGCAGAATCGCCAAGGAAATACGTCGAAAATCAAGTGACGATACACTACAAGACACCAGTACGTCAGGAGATCAAGGAATATGTATCGGAGGACGAGCTGGCCTACAGGCAGGCGGAGGCCATGAAGAAGATCTACGAGGAAGAGAGAAAACGAAAGTATCTACAGGTTAGCGAAGAAGTAAGTTGGGATTTGGTCGAAGGGGTTCGGATCGGTGTGGTGTTTTGGCTGGCCATTTGCTTACAATTCTAATATGCTTAGGCTGACGCGTGTGTTTTTCCTTAAGGTTGATGTTTTTTTTTGCGCAATTAAGAAGGTGGTTATTTTATTTTTAGCAACGGTTTTTATTTGAAGTATTCTTGTGAAATAAGACTTAGGAAATAAAGCATTTATTATACAATTTCTTTCTTCAGCAATGAATTTCACTTGTTTCTTGGCTTTTTCGTTTGGCCAAATCAAACACTGACCGAAAACAACAGTATTGATATCCACAGTTAATAATAGCAAAAATAGAGACTATCTACGGCTTATAAATTCCATTAAAATGTTTACAGTCATTAAGCATCATCTCCCAATCTGGCCTAACACACCTGATCCGCAGCTTCATCCAACTCTCAAGGTACTGCGTTGCGCAATCAATATATTGCTTAATCTTTAAATAATTATTTCTTGTTTGTTTGTTTACGTTACCAACCACAATGCAAGGTTAAACAAGACATTGACGATAAATCGAGACACGGGTATATATTTATTACATTGTCCCGGATTTTTCTTAACCACAAATTTACCCAATACATCGGTAGCACAAAATTTCACAAATTTTTCTCACTGAAATTAAGATTGTCTGAATTTTATTTGCCATTTTAACTTGTAATTTCTAAGTTTAATTGTATTATGTGCTTTGAGTTCTTAATTTTTAATAAACATTCATTCTTAAACAAATTGCGGCAGAATTTTAGTGTCTTTTTGCCACTAATTGTTTGGAGTTTTCCGCTTCTATTATAAAAATTTCCTTCCGCGCCATAATGGCAATATTAACATCTTAAATACCATGAAATATGCGCAGCTAACATTGTCGATATTGGCATTTACTGACTTACTCCCGTATTCATTCAAATAACTTCTTAACTTAATTTTTCAAAAACTTCCGTAGGCTGTGAATCTTGTAGGTACTTGTAGATGTTGACTCTATTTCTCCAAACATAAAACTGTCTGAAACCAGTTTCAGACAGAGAAATCCAGAAGAGACCTACAACTTCCTAATTTGTTTATGTAATATATACAAACTACCAAGTTTGCAATATTTGCAGTCTTGAGCTCAAAACTATCAGAATTTTTCAGTAAAAAATTGTCTACGATATACTTGCTTCGATATTCCTGTCTTAGTTAATCAACTGCTGGTACTTTCATGTAATAAGATAAGCTGTCTCAGTACTGACAGCAACTGGATGTGCCAACAGAAACTACTATCACAATATGTCTTGAAAACTCAGAGTAGCATCACTCCATCAAATTTTCTAATAGACAAATGTTTTACCATCAGAATACTGACACTATGGAGACCTAGATAACATTCACATTTATTGAAGAAGAAGCACAACACAACTTTCAAGATAATGAGATCTAAAACTTTACAATTTTAGAGCTTTAGTGTAGCATCAATCTTGAGATACCATGAAACTAATACACTTGGTACTGCGTGCATTACCTTGTCAGAAACCATGAAAGACAGAGGAATGAGGTGGCGAAATTCCAAAGCGATATTGCCTACAGACCTCAGTTACCTCTTCCCTTTGAGTGAACTATAACAAGTTTTCACCTTTTAGTGTCAATTAATCAAGTGAAACTCAGTCTTAAAGTTTTTAAAGTTTAAAAATTCGAAATGGACGTCCAGAATAAAAGGAATTGCCGGGTAAAGTCTGTTTATAGATATAAGAAAGTGACTAACTGATACGAATTAAGGAAAGACCCGGGCACCGTACTTTGCTTATAATTTAATTATTTGGGGTTTCGTTACGAAAGATACTAAACAATATTTATTTATTTATGTATGTAATTATGTTTAAATCTAGGAATAAAATTACAAATTATTTTTATTACCTATTTAAATTACTTAAAATTATTCACATAATATATCAGTATCACTATCGCTATCATCCCCTGTTCTAATTATTATTTGTTCTATATTATTTGCAATATGGATATACAATTGTTCTGCTTTTTCTATATGTTTAACAGAATTTGCCCAACTCTGTGGAGGGATGTTAAAAACTTCGGTTTCTATAAGTTTGAGGACATTGAAGTTAACACGGAGAAAAACATTGTCTCGACAAATGGCAGATTTCAGTTGGTGCCAAACATATTCAAGCTTTGTAGAACCTCAATTAATTGCTTTTTGGCATAATCTTCGTGAAAATAAATGTCGTTATTATACATTTAGTTTTGGATTGTTGCTTTTGTGTCACATGAAGAAGGGGTTTTAGTCAACTGTCTACTGTAATAACTTGTCCATTACAATAACGCTATTAGGAGGAATGTTTGGAACTAGTTTGTTTTTGAACCAACTTTCAAATAAATCAGCGGTGGTAATCATGGTAATCCAGAGAAGATTCTTTAATACTTTTCGCCGACAGAGAAAGTCCATTTGGAATCCAACCATCTTTAGATCCAGCATGCACCTCTTTTGATGGCGCGTTTGTTTTACATTTATCAGTTGAGTCAACCCAACCCTTTTGCGGGGTATCATAAGTGTCGAACAAGGTTTCATCCAAGTAAATAATTGGCCTTTGTTGTTCTCTGTAAATCCTAATTTTTTCTAGATGTTCCAGTCGCCATTTCCGAATTCTAAAAGATTCCATTAAAACTTACCTTTTATCAATTTTTTTAAATCTAAAACCCATGTGTTGAGTACACTTCCATAAGGTAGTTCTGCCACATTTAACACCACTCTTTGTTCCTCGTATAACTGATCACTTTCATCTCCACTCGAGAAAATGTTAGCATCGCTTCTTTTTTTCTTCGCTGAAATGGGATTATTCACAATTTTCCATACAGTGGATGTTGGAATTTGCCTCAATGTGGCCGTTTCTTCTAAAGATGCTGCTGGCACCACGTTCAATGAGAGTCAAGTAAACATTGTTTATAACTTCCTTAGTCTCAATAGAATAGTGTTTTCTACATTTGGGCGGGAGCATCTCCTGAGATGCACTAGACTCGCAAATATTTTGCATAATTCGCACACGATTCAACACACGCTGTATTGCACACGAAATAAGAATGATTACTAATAAACTTGAACTAAGTAGTATACCAAACCAAAGAATATTAAACACAGGTAGGTATACAATTATTTTCTATTACGGACCACAATTTTACCTGAATTTAAATTCCGAAACTTTAGGTAATAATCTTGTTGCATTGTATTTTAATGACCACCCTTGGATAATCCCATTAAAATGCAATTGGTCACTTTCTTATATCTATGAACAGACCATACATTCTTCTATCTGCTATGTACCCGTCTATAAGAAAAATTTCAACGTAGCAACGAAACTCTCTCTTTCGTATATTTCGCGATTCCAACGCATGTATCACTATAAGGTCTGTATTTGGTAGATTAATAGTTTAGCAATCCAATGGACCAACGCATTAACCTCACGGCACGCCTCATGTAACCTTCGCTCTCTTCCTTATTCCAGGAACTTCAAGATATGAAGTCGAGGAGGCATACGGACAACTTCATTCCTTCCCAGAAATCCCCGATTCCGTTAAATAGATACGACGACTTTGACGATCTCACCAACGCACCCAAAGTCCGACCCAGGTCTCCGGAACCTAGACTAGTGGCTAGAGCCCTCTACAATTTTGTCGGCCAAACTGCTAGGGAGCTCACTTTCCGCAAAGGTGATCTAATCTACGTTCGGAGACAAGTCGACAAGAACTGGTACGAAGGAGAACTCAACGCCATGGTCGGACTGTTCCCGGTCAACTACGTCGAGGTTGTGCTCAACAGACCACCTCGAGGTGTCATTTTCTAAAGTATTTTTTGCAGATCGTCCCGTACGACGGTGCCAAGAGCACACCCAGGAAAGCCCACGAGGGTCAAGCGCGAGCCAAATACAATTTCGTCGCTCAAACCCACTTGGAACTGTCGCTGGCCAAAGGCGAACTGGTGACGATCACCAGACGAGTGGACGACAACTGGTACGAGGGAAAAATCGGCGGTCGGAAGGGTATATTCCCAGTGTCGTACGTCGAGGTACGTCGAGCAGCCTCTCATCTAACCCAAGCTCTGCAGGATTTCGGTTCTTGGTTTCAGGTTCTGATTGATCCCAGCGATCCTCCACCGCCGAGCACTAAACCAGTCGCGGCACCCGCGGCTCATTCCTTGCTTTTGAACGGTTCCGCGCAAGGCAAGGAATCCATGGGTAAGAAATTAAGAATAGTATCAATTAATGAAAGTGAGGGTTTTGAATTTTTTTTTTCGAACAGGGAGCCACCTCTACACCCCGAACATCTCGAACTCACAAACGTCGGCAAGTTACCACGCGAAACCCGTCCAATTGACCGGCAACGGGACATACTCCACGTTGCCCAGGGCAAGCAAAGGTGCCATGAGTCAGGCTCTTCATATCGAGACTCAGTCTGAACCCGTAGCGTAAGTATTAATGTCACACTTGTGAGTTATTTACGATGAGTAAGTCGCTGGGGTATTTTTTTGCACCGGATGTCCCACTTTGGGTAATATTGTCAGGTACTCTTTCATTTTTTAAGATAGAGAGCAGACCCGAAAAATAATTAGCGCAGCTAACTAACTACTCGGGGAGATGTTAGGGTAGAAAACTACAAGCTTTTTATTCGAATATTCGCTTCTCTAAATCCATATTTCAGTTTGAACATTCATATAACCAGGTCTCAAAAATCTCATTCTGAAATACTGTAGAACTCTATTCCAGCAGTTGTCAAATGGGACAATTTTGTTTAAGTAGTCAATGAGTATTTCTCATGTAGATAAGAGCCGTCTCCTACTTAACTTTTTTTAGTAACCCGCCATTTTTTTGTAATTACAATAGCGCAGCATTTTTTTAAAACTTTTTATCGTATTGTGGCTTTGCGTTGCCGTATCGAACGTCAAAACCCGATCAAATGAGAATAGCAAAAACACTTTCAAGGTCGTTAGTCTGAAGGATACCTTATTTTATTCCTGAAGCGACGTGCATTTCAAGATAACCTCCGAAGTCATCCAGATCGGATTAAGGTTTTTAGAAACATTAAAGGCTTTTCGTATAGCCAAATATAAGAAAAGTAAATGGCTAAGTTTTTCTATATTATGCACCCTGCAAAAACGCAATTTTATTTGCCTCGTTTAAAATTAATTGTAAACGTAAAAATTACTGTCGATGAGTTAATACGAAATATATACGAGGGTGGCAAAAAAAATTATACAAATAAAATAGATTGTTTCATTAAATTAAATGGTTGAGGTGCCATCTATCCTATACAACTTTTTTCTTCTATTTAATTATTTCATAAATAACTAATTAAATGTTGAACTTTCTTTCTTTTCCTTTTGGCTACTGTGCGGTGCGGTTATTTATCTTTCCTCCCACACCTATTTGGAATAATTTTGTACTTTTGAAAGTGTACAGTACTTTCCAAACAGCACCTTTACACGGCTCCGAAGAAGTATGTCACACAAATGTACTCTAAGTATATATAGATTCTTTATTATTTTAAAAATAATTCCTGTCTCACCTTGAATGCTTTGACTCTATCTGATGTCCGCCAGAGCGTAAGCGGAATTTTTCTATTTTAACTGCTGCGCCTACAAAATTAAAATCATCGTCAGTTAAAATAAATCCAGTTTCTGGACATAAACTGTTAAATCAGTAATAGTACAATTAATGCAATTAATTGGCTCTTTGGAAATTTTTTCAATGGCTACTCACTTTCCAAAGAACATTATTAATACTTTTTATAAAACTTCTGGATTCCTCCTGCGTCGGTTTTTGTTGAGTCGAACTAGCTAACGTTTCGCCAATCATCCGGTACTCTGTATCTGCTTATATATTGTTTGGGGGAAGGAGAGCTAAATGAGTTTATTTATCTTAAGGCTCTTTCACTTTCTTTGAGCCTAGTTGATATTTTTCGTCCGGTCTCTCCAATGTATTCTTTCCCGCATATGCATGGAATGCTGTAATTTCCTGGCATCTCAAATGGAATTTTGTCTTGTACGGATCGAAGATGTTGAGATTTTTGGAGAAGTGGTAAATCTGTTATATTTCTTTAGAACTTTTGATATGTGGTCAGTGATGTTCTGAATATAAGGAAGGACAACAGTGGGAAGTGTGGGATTGCTTTGGGTTTCATTGCTATTGGAAGTTTGTGGTGAAGTGTATTTTGTGATGGAGCTCTAATTATCTTTAATGTTTAAATTATTAGAGAGAAGAGAGCCAGTTTCAGTCAAGCTCTGAAGAAGCCAACACGATGATTGGCGAAACGTTAGCTAGTTCGTAGTAGCCTTTGGAAGTTTCTTTGAAAAATTAACATTATTAATAACTTAAAATGCCATCACTACTAGCAGGTCACCTTCAATATTCACGAGTTCACTTGGAATAAAGACATTTTAGTTAAGTTCAGTTTTAGTTAGCTAACCCAACTTTCTCCAATGTTTGATATTTGTTATTTATATTTTATGACATAGAACCTAATATGGAAGAACTGATATTTCTTCAAACTCATAAACGTTTTCCCCAAATGAAGCCTTTGTAGTAAGTTAAAGTTCACAAGTTGGACAAACAGCCAGAAAGCTGACAAAAATCCGGTGACATTTCACAAATCGCGATTTCATTTGATAAGGCTAGAACACGGACTCGTATTAAACACCCACACTGACCCATCAACATCTTTGATGTTAACATTTATTGAAGAAACTGAAAAGATTCACGACACATAGCTACTCATACGAACAACCGTTTATTCTAGGCATTTCGAACGTAAACTCAGAGTTATTCGCCTTGTTATTTGTCTATCCTGTTTTCAAATGCTAACCCAACTTTTCCTAACGTCTTGACATTTGAGATATTTGTTTAGGATTTTATCCGCACCACCAATAGGATATTTTTCTCTCTTCTCAGATATCGAGCCCTCTACAAGTACAACCCACAGAACGACGACGAACTCGAGCTGCTAGAGGGCGACACCGTCTACGTATTAGAAAAATGCGACGACGGGTGGTACGTTGGGTCGAGCGTGCGGACCGGCGCCTTCGGCACGTTCCCCGGCAACTATGTCGAAAAAATCTAGCGCCAACGAGCCTCGCAAAATCGCCTTTGGACGACGAACACAGAGTGCCTAACGTTTACTAACTGCCAAACGGAGTTTGGAGATGGAAAATTTGCAACCGCCGCCACTGAGTAACACGACCGAGCTAACAAACGAAAGCATTGCCATATATATAGAACACTTGACGGGATCGTAGCATTCGCCCCGCCCATTAATTATAAATAGAACACTTACGACAAACAAGATGTGTTGCAAATTTTCGAAGACAGTTTGAAGTTGCCCTCGTATAGCTTTCCCGTAGTGTAACCGTACAGGGTGGTCCACTCTTTTTTAGCAGACTTTGCCCTCAAATTCTTCTCTTTTTAACAAATTCTCGGAAAAAATATTAGCTTTTACGCGCTCCAAAAAGTGAACCACCCGTGAGCAGGCAAATAGTTAAGCGAGTTCTAGTCATTAGCCGATCGTAGAAGTTTATTTACACCAAATTCGCCCCGTATACATATATATTTTTGTTGTAATTTATAGTTAGTATTAATCGTAAAACAGGATAGAGAGGCCTCAAACACACAGGACGTCCCGAAGCCAAATATTTTTCAGACCGCCTGTAGACGCGTGTACAGGAAAAGAAATTTGTTCTTCCATGTATTCGTAGAGCGTAGATGGCGTCCCCTGGTTGATGCGTGTTCCTCCTTAACTCGATAACCATACACCCTTCCCGTGTAAGACTTATTCCTCTAGAAGAGTGCCTTTGAGAATACAATACTTTTTATTAACACCGGGTATATATTATTATATCGTAGTAGTCGTAACCTGTTATTTGTTATTTAATTCTGTTGCAGATTTTGTAATCGCTATAGAGACGATTTGTTTTGTTAGTCTAGATGACCTAACGTTTCATTTCGGCGTTGCTTAGGAACGCGCGTTTTCTCATTTACACGATGTAACATAATTTGTTTAAATAAAGATTGCGTATAAACTAGATTGTTGTTTCTATTCGTTGTCCTGTGATCTAGCAAAGAAAAGGCAGGGCAGGATGACCAGGCTAGGTAAAAATGAACTTTCAGCGCCGGTTTTATTTAAGTGTATGTCCAGGGATTATAGGAGATAATCTTTCTTTAACGGATCGCTTAAGGGGGAAATGTATTTGCAATTTCTCCAAGAGGAACTACCACCTTTGCTGAAAGAGTGGAGACAAAACATGTGGTTAATGCAAGATGGCGCTCCACTCCATTTTACATTGGGTCTACGAAGGTATTTACATCAGCCATTTGAACATTGATAGATAGGTCGGGGCGGAGCTCTAACTTGGCCGCCTCGCTCACCAGACCTTAATCCGATAGACTTATTTTTTTGGGGGCACTTAAAGTTTTTAGTGTAGGAAACACCTATACGACAAAAAACAATATACGATTGCGAAATCATTAGAAATAGGTTAGAAGTATTTTTTCGTGTTCACAAGCATTTTTTAAAATGTATAAGAAAAGGTTTAGAAATGAACGGTGGGCATTTTGAAAATGAATTGTAAATAGAGTTTTATGCTGTTTAACTCCCGATTATTATCAGTAATTTTTTATTTTCGAATTATGTTACTTAAATTAAACATGTTATTGCATTGACTTATGCCTTTTTTTTTTACTTTTTTAATTTGTAGCATACTCTTTTGAAATATTTAATGCAAGTCGCCTGCATTTCCACCTTTCTGTAATTTAGAAGTGCGGGGTTTTGGAAGCTCAATAGTATACATTTGCAGATGTTACGATCTTAATTTATACATCAAAAAATTCAGAAGTATTGGTAAATGTAGCAAACAATGGGGTACTACAACTGACTATTAAATAACAATTTAAAAATAAACATTGAAAAAATTAAATTCTAATTGCACAATATTAAATTAAAAAAAAATAACTTCAGCGTTACGATAAATGATTTTACCTTGGAAAGAGTTGATAAAATAAAATGTTTAGGGATTAAAATTGACGAGCAGCTAAATTGGAATGCTTACATTAGTCATATAAAGAACAAGATATTTCCCTTAGTTGCTGCGTTATACAAGATATAAAATTTATAATGCGTGTTTCTTATCGGTTATAAAATATCTTATTGCAGTATTTTCCTTAAAACTGTATTTAATTTAGATTACAAAATGCACACTTAAATGCTGTATCATTCACTTCCAATTAATCCGATTGTAATTTAAAATTTGAACTTAACCTTGAATTTGAACAATCTAAATTTATCTTTAAAATAGCACAGAACAAAACTAAAAGCAACATCAAAATAACCAATGTCTCTGCGTAAAATTGTGAAAAATGAGACTTCTTTTAATATTTTCGTTGAAAAGTTAAAAAATATTTATGCAATGAAATAATACATCGACTCGAACATATTATATTAGATTATTATTAGACAATTCAGTTAAAATGCTTTCGGTGCCAATGCTTAATCCATTGTTTATTTAGTTAGGATTATTTCAAAAAAAGATCAAAATCAACTTTCAAAAGTTTAAAAATTGTTGGTCTGTGTTATATAAGAAATGATATTTGAATATTTGGCAACAAGAGACGAAAAACACTATAAGGAACTATGGTTGCGCCGGCTAATAATTTTGATATCTATATCCTATCTACTAAATACGTAAAAACTATGCTGAACAACAACCGAATAACTGAAACTAACCAACCATTTGCTTATTAAACCAATAAGCCTTCAACAGGGATACCAACCCTCGAACAGAGATCTACCTAAACCAAAACACCTACGAATAAATCTTGCGGCCTACAACGGACCGATATACAGTGAACTGCCAAATTACAGAACAAATTTATTTAAAAATCAGGTATTGGATTTTCAGTAAAGTGAAAATGTACAGGGCTGGTTTTAGAAATAGATAAAAATCAACCCACTGGAAAATCTACCCAAACGGACTTAACGTTGACTCTAAAATTTTTAGTTTTGAAGTCAAAAAAATTGAAGATTAATGAATTAATGAAGATTAATTATTGATACATCAAATATAAACATATGGAAATATGGTTCATTTGTTAATATTTGAAAGCATAAAGGAGTACCACAGCATTAAGTTGCTTTAATCAGTTATAAAGACTGAATCCACACATTAAAGATTTGGCATATCATCTAAAGACTAAAGTTTTTTATGTAAAATAAAATTAATATTACAATGATGTCTGTTATTCCAATTTGAACCATTACACACAAGTTATAATAGTATAACAAACAACTACCGAATAGTCACATCTGTTTTAATGAAAGGTAGAAGTCAAAAACAAAACCAGTGTTTTACTAAAAAAAATATTTAATTTTTAAAATTCTATTTTGAATCAGAACATTGGTTGCAATACCAAGATGCAGTTTCTAAATTTACACCACATGTTCTACATATTTCTTGCACACATTCATTGTTTAAAGAATATATTCGGCGACCATATAACAAAATCGCAATATTGCAGATTTGATATAAATATTTTAATCTCCACCAACACTCAGAAATCTGTCTGAAAACATCAAATAACTTGTAATATTGGTGACTGGTGGAACTCCATTAATTGAATAGTTTAAATATCCATGTCCACAATAAATGAATCTAAACCATCTACTAATTGTAGTGTTATCTGATACCGTTCACCAATATCGGGATTCTTTTATAATAATTTCTTTCAATAATGACTTTCTGGTGCGTTCTCCTAACAATTGATGTTAAGAATGCATTCAATTCGGCCAACCACGGATTAATTATCCAGGAACTAAAGAAAAAGAAAATATCAAAATGCCTTGTGAACATCACATCAAGCTATCTGAAATACAGAAAAATACTTATTGATAAAAATGAAACCATGGATGCTGAGGCCGAGGTTCCACAGAGTTGTGTCTTGGGGCCGACATTGTGGAACGTCCTATATGACGGCGTATTAAACTTAGAACTTACTAGGGATGCCGTGATCATCGGATTTGCCGATGACCTGGCGCTTGTTGTAGGCGCGGACTCTGATCAAGTACAAATGAGTGTCTGGAGAGAATAACCTCTTGGATGAAAACGCACAAACTCATTTTAGCACCAGACAAGACAGAGGCAGTCATTTTGAGGGGAAGACGTAAGCGAGATCACATAGCCTTCAACTTGGAAGGAGCGAGGGTGATCCCCTCTAAAACAGTGAAATACTTAGGCATAACTGACTGTATAACTGTGAAAGCTTAGCCAGAATTATGCCTAATGCAAGAGGACCCAAGAGCGAAAAAAGAGCAGTACTGTGCAGCGCTATGCACAACATTATTCTGTATGGTGCTCCGGTCTGGAGTGAAGTGCTAACAATCAAGAAATACAAATGTCAGGTAGAAAGAACACAAAGAAAAATGCTTTTGCGTGTGACATCATCTTACAAAACTGTATCCCTAAAAGCACTGCAGGTTGTTGCAGGAGTACTACCAATTGACTTGATGGTCAATGAACACAAAGGCGGAGACCAACAAATCAAAAAGGCTACTGCACGCGAAAATGCACTAGACAGCTGGCAACAAAGGTGGAAAAACGAGACTCTAAAGGCCCAATCGACCAAAAAGCGTATACCGAACCTGAAAATGTGGCTAGATTGCAAACATCGTAGTACAGATTACTACTTAACACAGGCCCTAAGCGCGCACGGACCGCTGCATATACTGCTCCGAGGTTGATACCGCCCAACACACCCAGTTCGAGTGTTCGAAATGGAGAGAGCTGAGCGAGGAAACATATAGCGAAATAGGCTGTATGCTAGATCTAGATTCCTTTCTACCGAAGATGGTGGAAAGCGCAGAAAATTGGCGGGTTGTGAAAGATATGGTAAGAAGAATTTTGAGCGTAAAAGAGAGAGACGAACTTAAAAGACAAAAACAAACAAGGCAGGAACAAGGATAAACAAACACTGCTGGTTGCACCTGAAGATATGTCGATAACGGTTCCGGGTGTAACGATTGGAGCAACAGGGGGTTTTAGTGGGTAGTCCGAAACCGCGGAGAGTCCCACACTACCACGATGCAAACCACCAAGTGCGTGGTGTGCATAAAGCATTTCCTCTTCAAAAAAATAAATGAATAAATAATGACTCTCCATCTCAAAATTTTGAACAAATTAAAACTCACCACACAAACGATTTTCTCCATGATGTACAACACTTGTTTGCCCTAGACGGTCATATATGTTCACGTGGTTTTGACTGCCCAATTCGATTGGAGATTCAAGGCAAAATGAAAAATCAAGAAGTTTGTAATTTGTTTAAAGTACAATATCCGGAAAGATCTAAAGGTGAGTAAAATTGGGAGAACATTTATAGAAACCGGGTATCTCAAAGATTGTCTTCTATCATTTAGTTAAAAAACTAATGACAACATAAGATTTAACATGTTATTAGAAGTAGTAGAAGAAGTAGCTTAAAATTGTGATGTTAGCTAACAAACAGCTTTTACACTTTGCACTCGTATATATGTCCTTTCGCGAGTACAATATATTCGAACTATTATTATATTTACTTTCCTGTCTACTCGGATTTTTTTATATTGTTTTTCTTAAATTAAAAAAAAATCGCTTTCGGATTTTTAAAAAAATATTTTATTATTATTATCGTAATCACTAATATTATTATTAAATAAATTCACACACAATATAAAAAAATTATATCCTATAATGTGTAGTGTATGGTACCGTTCGAAGCAGTCACCAATGTGTACGGAAGCATGTGTCACAAATATACCTAGTTTCGCGCCTGATGCCTTGTACTTTACGGTTAGAACAAACCGCACAGTCTCCTTTATTTCCATCATTTTGGCGTAAAATATACAATTTACCATTTAGCCGCCCTTTTGTATCTACAGATCATGGTCTGCCAGAAATTTTGGATCCCTGTCGAAAGTTTTTTGTTATCTCGACAACCAATTCCCGAACAAACTTTAGATGAGTCGTTGGTTTTTTGATTTAGCCCCGTTGTGAAA